GGGCGGGGAGGGGGGGGGGGGGGGGGGGGGGGGGGGGGGGGGGGGGGGGCGAGACAAAGAGAACCACACACTTTATTGCAGCATTTCCTTCTAAGTCAGAGATGGGACTCAGAGAAAATATACAATATATCGTGATGATGTGGGAATGACCACTTCCATCAGACGCGTTGAATATTTCCCATGATTCAAAATCACAACAGTGAGTTCATATCCGGCGTGCAGGCTCTGAACTCATCCTCTGCCACAATACAACCCATAAGCGGAGCAAAACGGTTACTGCAGAGTGAGGAAAATAATAACAAGAGTCAAAACTGAGCTTCCTTCCTAAGGCGGTGAATGCTGTGGTGGAGGTGGAACTTATCAATGTTGCAGCAGTGGCAGTCAGTGTGTGCAAAGTTGGAATATAAAAATAGGCCAGGAGAGGCAGAGGAAAAACCTCAGACTATCAGCTGTTGTGAGTTAAGATTCTTCACTGGCCTCTGGGTTAGTGTCATGGAAACCAATTACCAAAAAATAAATAAATATGATGGGTAGTGAGTGCAGTAGTCCCTGTCCAAAATAAAACCAAAAAACCCAAAAAACAAAAAACAAACAGCTAAGAATAAAATGTTTCATTTGCACTTACATTAAGATAGTACTTTCTCCCTACTCAAAAGTTTCTCCAGGTTTTAGGCATGTTTCCTCAGGTACTAATTATTCTTGTTAATTCTTTTTAATGAATTTAAACTACATGTCAGTTCCTGTTAAAGTCTTGCAGTGGGTATCAGTCAGATGTATGCTGTACATCCTAAACAAAGTACCAGTCCATCATATGAAGACTCACAGTACCTATCAGTCAATCCTTCAAAATTCAACTGAATACTTATCTGCAGGTTTTTGGTTAATGAAGAAACTGAAAAAGTAATCGGTCAAAAAACCAAAAGTCGATGACACTATCTTTACCCCACTGCCTGGTGGAATAAGTATGTCCTCTAAATTGTGACAGTTACACCTTATGTTTATACACGTTGGTATTGTCTAATTCTGCCATCTGTGTGAAACATACATTTGAAAAAACAAAACATGGTGCATTTACAGATTAAAAATAAATAAATAAATGTTCCTGCGTAAGAGTAATATCGAGCTTAAAGTAAACAAATGCACTTAAAACAGAGAAGCAGCTAAAGCAGAGACGACAAAAGAATGATACAAAATTAACATAAATGAACGCACGGTTTAATTAGAGTGTCAGTAACTTGCAGCACAGTCGACTCGTCTGCAGAGACATGTTTGTAGCGTAACAAAAGTGTTTACAAACATAAACTTGCCTCAGTGAGGACGCACTGCGACGGTTGTCAGCTCCGCACTACCCCAGTCTTCAGAAATTCCAAAATATGCACAATTGAAAAACAAATAAACATTATACGACTGGTTTCATTTGTCTTAACAAAATACACGTGCAGAGCAGTGACGTGCGGTGAGGTTCATGGCTGCCGAGGCACAGACTCCTCTGGAGTCAGATCTACTATTGTAAGAACCGAACAGAGCATCTTGTTTCACTGTTCACCCAACAGCATCACCTGGTTGTGCTTCATATCCATCCAGGAACATACTTGTGTCTAAGCAACTCACATTTACTGTAAACAAATTAAAGTATAGAGATGAGTGCAGCACAAATTTAATTTTGACCTTCAGTAAAAAAAATTATAAACTTTAAATTGCGCTGCTTTAATCAAAGGTTGTCCATCAAAATTATAGGAATAAAAATGCAATGATCAAATACTTGATTTCTTTCTACTTACTCCCTTTTTTTTTAAAAAAAAAACAAAAACTTAAAATCATTTTTAGCCTTACCTTTTATAGAGGAAGTCCATGGTCGCATAGCATTGTGGACGCTGGTGTTTAGTCTCCGTTGCTCATCCAATGCCAAATCTATCCTTGAATTCCTCAATGTTTTTAAAGAAATCTGGCTTTGAATGTGCTTGGCTGATCGTTCATGTCTGCTGAGGCTTCTTTGCAAATGTTTCGGGTCACAGTTAGTCCAGACGTTATCACACGAGGAGAATAACACACAGCCGGTCTTTTCGTTTGTACCACTACATTTAAAAAGAACGACTCTTCTGTCCCGTTGGTCTTCCATCACTTATCACCTTCTGTTTGGACCGTAAATCCAGTTTTGAAAAATGTTTTAGTCTTGGAATACAGTCCTCCATAGGAGACTTTAACTCGCCTCTGTTGAAGCCAGCAATGTAGCTAGAAAGAACCTGTCAGTCCACGTACACCCCCCTGTGGTAAGGCAGACCTGACCCGTCTGGCCTGCTGAC